TAGGGCTATATAGATTTGATTTGTATTTAATATATACGGATGATAAAGTGTTAGCATTATTTTTAAACTGTGTATCCAGTGTCCAAGATATGGCTATGGCCACGCCCATTTTCGAGTTCAGCATGGCTGCTAAGCTACAGTATTCGCATTCCTATCCGCTGTCCGCAACAACCAGCTCTATCCTCAGGCATATCGCACCTTGCAGCTGTAATACAATACCGTCCCCCGAAATAGGAGCAATACTTCCATTGTTCAAAGAGATGGCTCAACATGTGAGATTAGTGGAAAAAAGCATAATGTTCGACTTTCTTCTCATTGTGAGAAAATAACTCTGCTTCACTTCAAAAGACGTCTTCCTCAAAGGTGTACATAATTCTTTGGATAGTCCAGTTAGTATTGCGAGAAATTTTCAGAGCTCTATGATTGCTTACCTTTTCCTATTCTGGCCTAACAGAATAGTGTATTCTGCACGCTCTAGGGCAAATTACAGATACTGTGGTAGTGGACGCACTGATTCAAAACTTCAGTTTTAAGTGGAAACTTTTTGAATTAAATAGGCTATCCACTCAAACTAGTAATTGGATATTAGCCTACCTACCACCATATAACTAGTAACAGATGGTTATAGTTGATACTTCGCCCCGTTGTAGTTTCTCCGACTTTTCAAAACAGTAAGATGTCAAGTACAACGCTAAAGTATTACAAAAATCATCCAGAATTCTATCTTTTTCTCAACATCAAGCAGCTTCTAAACGTAATAGGCTTGTTTCAAAAATCGGTTCTAAAATAAGCTCAAATACTTAACCGCTATTGCAGTATTCCAACAAATACCCAAACTCCCCAATTTCTATTAGGCCAAAGTAAATAAAGAAAAGCAAAGTGAAAGTGGCTGAAGCGACGATCGAGAATGGATCAGATAATTAGGGTCACTCATATGTTACAGTTACATAAACCATAGGAATCGTGGTGTTGGTGTTTTGTGAAAATTTATAGAAGGAAATTTTTCAAACTAACGTTGTGCACATAAAGCCCGAAACAGCTGGTCTGATGGGCTGCATTCTTGCTATGTCGATAAGATGTTAGTGTTGGTAAATTTATAAATCTCTAGCGACCGTTTTACGGTATTCACCATACAGCGAAGGGAAATCAAAAATTTCGAAAAAAATTCGAAAAATTCTCAAAAGAATTTTAGATAGCCTAGAACAAAAAGCTCGACGCTCTTACTCAAATATGTGTGAAAAATTTACACCGGCGGATGTCTCTGGGGCAAGCGTGAAGTGGGAATGAAGACAATACACTGCTCCTTAACGACAACTCCATTGAGTTGTAAACACAAGACTTTTTTCGACTTTCTTCCTCACATTTTTCTGCTCTGCAGGGTTGCTTCAAAAGTCAACTGTCTTCATCATTCTAGCATGATGTTCGTTCTTCTTATTGCCTTTTTACCGCACTTCCGGCTTGCTATTCTTTCGATACGCGTTTCATCTGCTCTTCTCATATGCTCGCAGCCTCTCTTGGTGACCGAAGCAATTATTTTGACTCGACTATATCATTGCCACGGACAATATCATTAGCATTATGATACATAAGAAACGCGGCATTTTCAATTCCAAGTACTGCCTGTGCCTTGTCTTGCGAACATAGTCCTATGGAGCTGTAGGACGCATCACAGTACCGTGCATCCGTGATTGCAATTGCACCAGGATCGGAAGTCATCCAGAACTCCTGTAAAAATCCTGTTTAGTCAAAATCATTTTTAGCCAATAGGTCGTATTGATTTCCCCTTCTGCAGATGATCTCCTAAGTAATTTGAGGCTGCCTTCTTGATTGGCTCACCTTCAATGTCCTGAGAGTTCGACCATTAACTTCTTAATATTTTGTTCATACTTCGATAAGTTCAAACCATGTAACCATGATAGGTTCCATTTTTGTATCCTCTTCTAGTTCTCAGTTTTTACCTCATTTATCTATTATCCACGTCATCTACGTACGGAACAGCTTATTTTTTTGAGATTTTCCATTGCGACATACATGAGTTTTGTGAAAGTAAGGAAAGAGCACCAATCTTTGGTGCAAGTCAATCTTTATTCAGAAGATTTTCGATTGACCTGCTGCAGCCTACACTTGGCTGATAGCTCGTGGCAGGTCCTCTCTATTCAGTTCATATTTACTGCTCTGTTATTTTCAGGAATTTACCAGCTCACGATGTCGCCGTGAAGGTTTTGATTGATGATGGATGCGTGGGGTACCTTGAGTTATTAAGCAGCTGTCTTTACAGAGTTATTTTTTTTCCTCTTAGCATAAAGACGGCGAGTTTTGCGCATTGTCCTCATCCATTGGCCTCTATGCGGCTTACTTTCGCGGACGCCCTAGTTTTTACTCGAAACTCTCCATCAATGTCAAACTTTTGCGAATGCAAAAATTGTTTCGCAGCAAGCTTATTGCAGCCCGCCCGACTGCAGTCGCGAGGCAAGGATTTTGTCTAACTTCTTACCAAAATGGAACTTTAGATATAAGGTGCTAGTAATCCCTCTAAATTTGTCACAACAAGAACGACCTACACTCGTTACAGCTCTGAGCATGGCATAAGCTAGCCGCAAACTTGGTTGAGGTTTTTTAGTACGTTTGGGGATTGACGCAAAACATACACCCAGCCAATCATCGAACATGTGTTGAACGAGCGTCAACGGCGCTCATAACGACTGCGCTATCAGCATTTTCCTTTATTCATCCTTCCATTTTCAATTTTTATGGGGACAAGCGTTTCCCCATAAAAATTGAAAATGTCACCTGATACATATTTTTTGAAAAGAGAGGCATTCTCGCCGCACCTACAAGGAAATGCTTTTTACTCGAAATGGCCATTCAAACAAGATACATTCCATAATAATAAGTTGAGTATGGGAAACTCTGCTTCCG